GTATTGCGTCTTCATTTTTGTAAGTTCACTCTTTTTATTTTATAAGAATATATAAAAAGTCGAGGCAGAAATTTGCGAAATTTTAATAAGAATATTTTAAGAATACTCTGAAACCCGAGGCTGAGATTTTGAAAAGAATATTATTTTGTGCGCTAAAATTTGTAAATACTATACAATTATACGTTTTTAAGTAAACCTTAGAGAAATTCCTCCTCTCTCTAAGCGGCAAAACTAGCCAGAATGCAATGTACGATGCCAATAACACTTCTGTAAGAAGTTATGTGTGTCATGTCTGACTTTATTGCCTGCCGTGTGGCTCCAAAAGGACCCCCGCAAAGACATGATAGGAGAGATAATCTGACGTTGTGTCGACAATGTCCACTTTGTATTCCTGTAATCTACCAATATTCAGAAGAATATTTTCAGCCTAAAATCGGCAGAAAAGCAAGAATATTCAGCCTGGTCCGGAAAAACTCCACAAAAAAAGAGTGTAATGATGTTTGCCGGTCATCCTATCGTTTCCTGTAATTTGCCATTTCGCAGAATTATTTTCACTGCTTATTTGACCAGTGCGTTGCAAAATATAATCCAGTTACGAAATTGCTCTTAGTGAATTAAGAGTGTACCTAGGCGCATTTCTTCTTTCGAAATCGATTACAAATCTTGTGTTGTCAATAGTACCAGATTTGAAGCGCATTTCTTCGGGCCGTCTTGCAAGTTGACTTGGAATAATAAATAATAAATACTATACTGACTGTAAAGAAAGATGGATGCTAATTCTCTGACCAGGAACAATGAATACTGGTAGGAGAAAAGCAAATAATAAGCATGGATCCGAAAATGAATACTGGTGGAAAATAAGCATGGGTTAATGAGTGGACACGGAATGACACTGTTCGATTGAATTCTTGAAACCTGCTTGAAAAAGTGATAAAAAGACTCTAAATCTCGTTTTCGTTCTTCGTAATTGAGGTAATCGGGCACTTTCGATGTTTGGAGTCGTCAGACTAATTTTTAAACCTTGGCATCTGAAAAAAGTTTTTAAACGCCTTCTAAGTACACTGGAAAGAGAAACGCGCGAATTCTTATACCACGAAAGAACACCATGCACTCACCTCGATGGATTATGAATAAGGCTGAATTGATGGCTTGATTTTATCGTCTTGGCGATTTGCTGGTTGATACAAGTCAAAACACACCGTCCAGTCGCTTACTGAACGAAGTAGACTTTATAATCACACCGCTCGCATTTAATATTGGCTACATAAGTAGACGAGACAGGTGCTGCCAGTGTCATGTCAGAGCACCATTACCTTAAAATACCGTGGATAATTTGCGAAAGTGTTCATTGTTTATGCGATGACTGTTCCTCAAAGACATCATAGCGCCGACCACAAAAGGAGATTTACATTTGCCATTACCACAGCGATCAGTGCGGGTCTGTGATTTGAAATTCATGAAGCGAGAGGTACCGGGTCATCGTAATGGTTTTAATGGATGAAATAGCAGCTTTTTAAAGTTTTAATTGGTTTGCAATTTCTGCGCTTCTCTCTTCCGCTTGGCGCCTCTTCGCCCAAAGCTAGCCGTAATAACTGATAATTTAATCACGGACTTTCAATCCATTTCCATCGGAAAACATTTTGACAGGCAACGCTGGCCTTTAAAGCATGCAGATTTTATAATTTTAATCGCCTCAAATTGATTTGCAAAAACATCCTAATGATATCGTGAAACCAGAGACGATTCCCAATTTGCTTGTCACCTACGCGCTTAAAATAAACTGATAACTGATGCTATCACTGATGTCAAGACTTAAATGCACAGAGCCGTAATGGCACTAAACATTAATGTGTTGACAAATAGCACCCTAATGACGAACCAAGGACATAAATAGCTTCCTGTAAGGTCAGTAATTAAGGTGCCCTCTAAGACGATTCTGGATCCCAAGACGCTCCCACGATAGGGGAATGTAAGCTGACATCTGACTCTTATCGATACGACTCCCACGAGCTGAGCACTCCTAACCCGTATATCCGCGTTCTTAAGTTAAAATCTTTTCTTCTTTTACTATGTTTTTAGTCGTGGAAGTGTTCAACAAAAGTAAATTGCATGTTTCGTGTCAACACGTCCAAGGTCGTTCAATTAACATTTTATCGAAGACGATTGGCTGTTGACTTAAATACTTCTCTGAATTCCTTCCTTTTGTACGCAAACGAAATGTTGTTTTTTTCTGTTTTTGTTTTTTTACTTTGTTCGTAAATTTATCGAGGGTTCTTCTTACCTAATGGAAACCATGGTAGATGGTTTTCGACGAAATCCAAAGATAATCAAGAGTTGGGCCCGCTTTATGCATTTAATATTCGACATCTGACAAAATACATCTGTAAACAGCCTTTTTGAAGTTAACGATTAAATTTGATGAGGAACATTAGTGCATATGGACTGAGGCAAACAACGCCTTTTTGGGCAAGAAAAATAACGGAAGCAACCCTTCAAAGTACATGTGGAAAGCTTTACGCCGAAGATAACTTAAGATGTAGGTAACATGAAGTAATACATTGTATGTCGATTTATTCCGTTTGCATTCTGCTGTTGATGAAAAAGTTTTCAAGATTGCTGTCGTAATCTTCAAAAATTAATTCATTAAAATAAATGGCAGGGCGTTTCTGCCTTAATTATTAATGTTCATTAACGCTAAGTATCGAGAATTCGACAACTGTTTGGATCAGGTTCAACTACCGAGACTTTATGTAGGCAGTGGTGGTATAAGCATATAGTTTTTCTAATAGTAATACATGGTGGAACTTGTCTCAGAAATAGACACTTAAGAAAATGTCGCTGTAGGTGCTTATAGTGAGAACATGTCAGGTAAAGATTTCAGTGGCAATTTGGAATGTTAGAAACACCAACTACTCGGAGATCTTAGTACTGTCGAGTTGCTCAGACCGAAACCAATTCTATTCGTTTCCATAAAGAATATAAATGATGTTATTAAGGTTTTTTTTTGCTTATTGCTTCAAGAAAGTATAACTCAGTTTTTTCTTGTTTAGATTTTTTTGTTTTTTCACAGTAGGAGTCCGTTCATTGTCATACTGTGCGTTTTCTTTTCAACCAATGCAAGGGGGCTTTATGAAAATACATAAATTTGCATTCACCCAAAAGATAATATTATGGCAAGTTTTTCATAACACGTGCCAGTTTGTTACGTTTGGAAAATATTTTATGTTTCCATTGTTCTCGTTCGGTAAATAAAGTACTGTTGCCGGAAGAATTTTAGTGGAAAAAATTCTAAATATATTCAATTTATTTTTTTTTTAGCAATAAAAACTTGCTCTGGCGATAAACCCTGTTTCCTTTTTTGTTTTCAGTAACATCAGAAAATTATTAAAGTGTTCGCACTGAGAACTGAATGTCCAAACAAAAAACTGCAAGGCAAAAACAATTTTAAATCAGTCATGCTTGAAACCACGAAACATCATGGTTGGGTCGATTTCTGAACGAGAATCCTTGGTTCATACTTTGAAAAAATTATCTCGGCACGTTCTGAATCATTATTTAAATGTCATTTTACTGTAGAGGTCGTAATGAAAGCTGATCATCATCAATAATAAAAGGTAGCATGTGATAGCTACTTTAATGACATTACGGTTAAGGGAGACAAGAAGATTCTTAAAGAACATCAAGAATAGAAACATCATCATGTCGAAAGTGACGATATTAGTCTATTTCTTTTTAACTGACCTAAACTTTGAGAAAACCTAGTGTTTCGTTTCAGTTACTGGTTACGCAGCTCAGTTACCTTTTAAAAAAGTGTATCGGTGCAGAACGTCATCCGATTCAGTTCTTTTTTGGGAGCGCCCGAAATACGTTGCTGACTTACTGTTATTCTGGAACTCTCAAACCTGCAGCTTGTCTTTGACGAAGGCGCTGGCATGTTATCGTAAGAGTCTTGTCGACCCTGAAGCAGAGAAATAATATAAATCAACAAGACTTCTGAAGACCTCTATATTTGACGTTCAGCCACCTTCCTTCTTCGACAAGTTTAGAAGTCTTATGTAATCAGCGCGTTTTCAAAAGGGTTGTCGTCCGTGTTCTTATTTTGAAATGTTTGCCGAATACGTAGGGGCTTATTTTTGTTGTTATGTTTAGTTTGTTTATAACACACATAATGGTGATTATAATTTCAATGCAATGTTTTGAGGAAAACATTGAGAAACATTTTTCTTATTATCCAGAATGCATTAAATAACCTACAGATTTGTTTTCAATAGCTCATAGAATGCCAAAATAATACAAAGGAAGCGCTTTTGAATTAAAAAAATAACCAATGTAATTAACATGTGGAGCATGTTCACGAATTAGGACTGAGTGTTTTCGATATTAAATTAGACTCAAAATATACTTAAAAAATCAATTTACAGATATTCTTAGTGCGTGTGTATCAAATCCAGTCAAGGGTTTGCGCGATATCGCCTTTCGTTTTCATTATGTGAGATCTTGAATTGTGCTTGTTGTACAAAGACGTAGGTACGTGGGCAACAAGAAAAACTTCAATGAACTCCTATTTTCTTGTGTAGACGTAATCATTTCAGTGTTATCAAGCGTCAGCTGTATTTTTGAGGACCTACGCACAAACTTTTGATAACGATTCGTGGCATTAATCGTGGCGATTCGTCTCACGAAAGAAGAAAATCTCGTTTACGCTGCTAAAAAATTGTCTTGGACTTTTAATTTATGAAATTAGAAAACCTGTATGATATTGACGTACATCTGAAAGATTTTTCTTTTTGTTTAAATTCGCTTGCGTGTACGATAACAGATTATTGACATCAATCAAACTAACATCTTAAGGCTAACGACGTGACAAGCAAGATATTTTTAATAATCAAAATTGCAAACCTCGCTTTTATGACGCCCGACTTTTTAATTTTTTTTTAGCTGCTCAAATCGGGGCATTTTTCGTAATTAGAAGCTCTGTCGTTTTCTCGAGCCTTAAATGNGATATTCTTAGTGCGTGTGTATCAAATCCAGTCAAGGGTTTGCGCGATATCGCCTTTCGTTTTCATTATGTGAGATCTTGAATTGTGCTTGTTGTACAAAGACGTAGGTACGTGGGCAACGAAAAAAACTTCAATGAACTCCTATTCTCTTGTGTAGACGTAATCATTTCAGTGTTATCAAGCGTCAGCTGTATTTTTGAGGACCCACGCACAAACTTTTGATAACGATTCGTGGCATTAATCGTGGCGATTCGTCTCACGAAAGAAGAGAATCTCGTTTACGCTGCTAAGAAATTGTCTTGGACTTTTAATTTATGAAATTAGAAAACCTGTATGATATTGACGTTCATCTAAAAGATTTTCCTTTTTGTTTAAATTCACTTGCGTGTACGATAACAGATTATTGACATCAATCAAACTAACATCTTAAGGCTAGCGACGTGACAAGCAAGATATTTTTAAGAATCAAAATTGCAAGCCTCGCTTTTATGACGTCCGACTTTTTCATTTTTTTAGCTGCTCAAATCGGGGCATTTTTCGTAATTAGAAGCTCTGTCGTTTTCTCGAGCCTTAAATGACAGTTTCTGAATGGTGCTGAGAAAATCAGAAAAAAAAAGTCTTTCAATAGCTCGAAAAAGTTGTATAGCTATCTTTTTTCCGAATTGTCGATACATTGTATTGCAGGATATTTCCTCGAAGGTGTCGTTATAATCCGGGCTATAACGGCACGCAACTTTATATTTGAAAAAAAAAAAAAAAAAAATAGGATTTCAAGGAATCTGTGGACGAAAATGAAGTCTTTACACCTGCAGGTCAAGGTGTCCAGATGACCATGACTTTTGCAATTAAGCAAAAACTCCCGAAGCAAAAGTTAAGATCGTCACCCTTCCGTGTCGTTCTTTAGTGCTTGCGTAATAGTGATACAAATCGAATTCGCTTTTATTGAAGCCATATTTGGATTGCTTTTACCTCTGAAGAATTTGTTCCATTTCTGACGATAACTTAAAATAAATGCTTGTTTGAAAAAGCACCTTAATTTCCTTTCATGTCTAATCATAAATATCTAAACTGGAGTCACAAATAACCATTACAAAAAAAGTACTTTGTGCAAACGTTTGCATAACCTTGCAAATGTGACAATTTCTACTCATTATTTGCCTAAGCAGAAATGAATTGAAGAAAAGCTTTTTTTACCTAAGGCGATTCCAATTTTATGTGTACGATAGTGTGTCTTTTCTGAGAGTCTTTAATGATATTTTCACGGTGGCAAAACATCATAAGTGTTTTGGTTTTCAGCAAAAACGTGTCAGTGTGTTCAAAATCGCATTTAATGATAACATTTTTATCTTGAAAAACACGTGAATCGAAATCTAAAAATTAGCAAATCATGTATATGTTATTCTAGACCAAAAATGTTTGAATTTTCTTCATCGCATAGATGTATCTCTACAACTAGAGTATAGTTAAACTCCATACATTCCAGCCTGACCTGACGAAAAATACTCACTATATTAATTAACAATTTATGTCCTAATCTTAAGATATCCAGAGTGACACATTGTAAGGATTATATTTTTAACCTTTTAGGAAGCTAAAACATGTAGTTTCTAATTTGTTTTGATCTTAAGTGTTCGTAAACAATGTTTTTTACTGCAAAGTCTAGAAATATTTGGGGACTGATGCGTTCTCAGTACGGTAACGTAAATACAGGCCAAGATGCATGGGCGTCTAAAAATGATGCTAGAAATAACTCCATGCCAGGAGCCAATTCAGAAGAAGTATCCTTGTTATCGAGACTCTTTTCGCGATTTTTTCAATGCTTTCAAGACATACGTAACTTTTGGAGTTTTTTAGTGAAACCATTTTGAAAAACTAGTTTTTGGTAATATTATTTGTAGTTACTTTTTTTGTTTATTGCATGAATAAAATGGAAATTGTTTATCTTAAAAAAAATATTGAATCTAGAGTTATTTTATCGTTTCCTTTTTGTAAAAGGATTAGCAGTCATCACCACATAAAATTACCTATGAGTAATCGTAGAAAGTTTGATCTTTTTAGAACATGGATAAAATCCATTAGAAAGTTGTAATCGAACTACACACCTGAATTCTCTTCAAAGATGATGTGCCACAAAGTATCAAGACTTGATTAAGAAATACATTTCTACTAAATGGCATGCCGCTTCAGAAATAAAATATAATCTAATGCGTCTCTCTTCAGTTGCCTGAGGATAATTTCTAATTATACAGATAAGTGCTGTGTCAAAAGCATCAATTCAAACTATCGATGATGATGAAACGATTATAGTGGCTAGGTCAGGCGATTTCAAATCAAACTCTTGGGCTAAATGGTTTGAAACAGTGAATCGACATTAAAGGGAAACCCTAGAAAGATATTAGGGGAGTAATGCTGGGCGAAATGGAACATTGGGCAAAAGGTGACTTCTCACGTTAAGATAACACTGAAGAAATGGGTGACTTAGTGCTAGCAAATCATTGTTGTTTGTTCGTTCTTAAGCTGGCGAAATTGATTACGGCTCATTTACTCATAGTATTATGTAGCTGTAACATGACGTTTGGCGCTCTCACGTAACAAAAATTGCCTTTTAAGAGCCTTTATGCAGTTGAATGGTATAATATTTTACAATCGATGCCTGCTTGAAAAGTAAACAACGACATGGTCTCATTGTTTCCATTTAAGATTTAATTAAAAGAAGAAAATTAAAACGGCCTTTGAACCATTATTCAAGAAACTCTGGGCTGTTTAGAAACGACTGGGCGTCTTTCAGGGATGCTTAGGTCATAGTTTGCAGTTGATTACGATAGTCTTAGAGCCTTAGAGATGATAGTAAAAACGATGACGACTATGATTTAGCGACTGAAGTCAGTTCCTCAATAGACCTAGAACGAATGTGAAAAAATCGTGGTCGACGGTCTTTTGTCAACAACAACAACAATGTCAACAGCAGCAGCAGCATCAGCAACAGCAGCAACAACATCAGCTTCACTACACACATCAACGAGAA